TGTATGTATGTATGTATGTATGTACGTATGCATGTATGTACGTATGTATGTACGTATGTATGTATGTATGCATGCATGTATGTATGTATGTATGTATGTATGTATGTATACATGCATGCATGCATGCATGTCTGTATGTATGTAATTATGTATGTATGTATGTATGTATGTATGTATGTATGTATGTATACACGCAGCTATGCATGTACAGAAATGTACACACGCACATGGGCACGCACGTCCGTACGTACTGATGTAATCATGTGTGTGTGCATGTATGTATGTATACATATATATATGTATATGCAACAATGTAGGTCTGTATGCATCTGTGTACACATACATTTATATACATATTTATAGTATGTTTTCATGCATACATGTATAGGTACAATAGCTAGCTAGATAGATAGAGACTCAGAGAGACAGACAGATAGAAAGACGAGAGGCAGATAGTTAGTTAGTTAGATAGATAGATAAATAGACAGATACATACAACGATAGATGGGTCGATAGATAGATAGATAGATAGATAGATAGATATATAGATCGATAGATGCATAGATAGCATGGAAGTTCGGAGACAAGCAAATACACCAACAAAGTTGTACGATTGTTCACGATTTCGCAAGTAAACACGGTCTTGAACACGGTGCCGCTTGATCGAAGGCTGCGAGATCCGGATGATTTCTCGTGCTTCATATCGTTACAATACACCGTGATCTACCCTTTGAATGTCACCTGCTGTTCCAATTTGCACGGACCATTCTGGACAGGGCTTGAGCCAACATTCAACCTAGAATCCTGATCAAGACAGTGTCTTTTACTAACTCCTCGATAATAGGAGACTCCATAAACAGCCTTAAAACAAACTAGGAGATAAGGATTGCTTAACGAGGTTGTTGCAGAACGGCCGTTGAGCAAAGTACAGAGAGCCTTGCCTCAACGAGGAGCGCGACGATGTTGTCGTGGCCTGACACGACTGTTCTTCAACGGTTCAGGGTTTAGGGTGCTTTTCATTCACAGCGGCAAGAGGTCTTTAGCGTATCAACCTACGGGAAACACATGAGGTTTACCGTTCATGTCTGTGCATGGGCTCAGGTAGACACATCATGCAAGTGCCTGAAGGACCCAGACAAACACAAGACTGATCCGCAGCTGTCTCAGCTGAGTGTGCCTAGCTACCGTCCCAGGCCAACCACGGACGATCGACGATTGTCAGAGGACAAACATCCAACAACGACAGCCCTAAACCCTAAACCCCAAAACCCCTAAACCCGAAACCCCTAAACCCCTAAACCCCTAGACCCTAAAAGCCCTAAACCTGTAGGCATCCTACGGATTGAGCTCTGAGCAGCTGGGGCTTAAGGATTCAAGGTGTCATGCAGAGGCCTTCATGTTCAGAATAGGGTTCCTTTAAAGGGTTTAGGGTTTAGGGTTTAGGGTTTAGGGTTTAGGGTTAGGGTTTGGATCCTTAAAGGGCGCTATAACGGATCTAAAGGGTGCTATATGGGATCTATGATTAGGGTTCTATATGAGAGGCCTTCAGAACTTAGAATAGGGTTTTGAGGAGGGGAGGATATTATATTCGAATCATAAGAAGGGACCCCCCAAACAACCCTAAACCCTAAACCCTAAACCGACGTAAAGAGAATTGGCAATTATTTAGGGCCCTCCACTCAAGTTCCGGATTTGAGTGGTCGGGCTTTGAAGTTGTTGTCGGGTTTGGGAATTTCGCGGTTAGTGGCCCTAAGGGTCCATGCGCCCAAATCATCCAAATCATATCTACTTTGGCCCCAAAATACCTATACATATATATATATATATAGGGATATCCATAAGGCGAATGCATATACTACATGAGCACATGGACCCTTAGGGTGGTCGATGACATGTCCGAAGGCATATAACCCTAAGCACCAGGTCTACAGCCGGGACATACGGAGGTTACTTTTGAGGTTATGACACGTGTGTATACAGGCACACACACATGCACATGTACATATTATATACATATATGTATATATGTATTTGTATGCAAAGCAAGAACGTTTTCTAAATATCCAGAGCCCTGTTGTTAGAAAGTCCAATCCTGCCTGCAACCGCAGCCAAATGCAGCGGTGTAGCCTCAACAGCTCCAGAAGGGGCTGGAGGTATTAGATAGGGAATGATAGGATTTAGGGTCTAGAGCCACCTGCCACCGGAGGACTGGTCAAGAGCACTACGACTTCATTGCAGTAGTACTTATAATCACCACTGTCGCTTGCAGCATGCCAACATGAACCCTGAGATGAACCACCAGCTTTGCTTTTGGATCAAAGAGGGATTAGGGTTTAGGGTTTGGATCAAAGATGTTGCGGACGATGTCTGCGACGTGAGCTGATTGTCGTGGACCCTCACTGCCCGCAAGACCATCGGATAAAACAGCTACTGGGGAATCTCAGGATGATCGGGCTGTCGCACAAAGAAAAGCACAGATAATGTTGCTTTTGTTCTTTCAGATCGCTGAACCTGCAAGGGCGGCATAGCTCAATGCTCGAAAGCGGAATGCAGCAGCAACAACAACAAATTAACAATAAGAAAAGCAGCCACGAATGACAACGATCACGTCAACATCCTACTCATCGCTGTCATAAATCTGTCTATCACGGACGACTTTTCGGCAGAAGGTACACCAGTTTTCAAATTCCATATACCCGGCTGCTGCTGCCATGGCTGCCGCCGGCAATGCCGCTGCCGCTGCTGTTGCTGCTGCTCTTGTTGCTTCAGCTGCTTCTGCTGTTGTTGTTGTTGTTGTTGTCGTTGTCGTTGTTGTTGTCGTTGTCGTTGTCGTTGTCGTCGTCGTTGTCGTTGTCGTTGTCGTTGTGGTTGTGGT